GTGGACTGTGGGTCTTCAAGAATAGGTATGGTGGGCAAGTTTCCCAAATTTGCTGACCTAGAATTTTCCCTGTTTTTTTTTGTTTTGTTTTGTTTTGTTTTGGGACCAGCAGAACACACACTGGGAAGGCCTGCACCACATTATAGCCAGATCATCAAGTGTGAGATCTGTATAATGGAAAACGAAGAGAGCATAAAATCTAGGATCCTTCTCCAACCTGTCTTTTACACCAATTAAATCTATTTATTTAGTAAGGCACTTAAGTGCTGGGGGAAATATAAAAGGGTCTAAGACAAAACTAAGCTCCCACTGTCAGGAAAAAAAAAAGAAAGAAAAAAAGCCCAGTGGGGGAGGAGGCCACAAAGATCTGGACCAAGCAAAGTAATAACCAGATATAGGCTATGACAGCAATCAGGATAGGAGCCCAAACAAAGCACTGGGACTGGAAAAGGGAGATAATTCATTCTGTTGAAAGGAGCAGGAACACTTCTGAGAATGAGGCAAGTGAAATGGACTCCAGTGGATGCCTGGAATGTCAAAAGAGAGAGATGGGGTAAGGATGGTAAAGGAAGAAATAGGAGCAGGGTGGGCCCTCCAGGCTCAATCAACAGCCAGAAGAGAAATGAAAAAGCAACAGTATGAGCAGAAGGTGATAAATGCTTCAGTTTAGCTAGGATAGTTAGAAGAAGTAGAGTTCAAAAGTGGCTAAGAAGGACACTGGGGAGGGTCCTGCGTGCCAGGCTGGATCTGCAGTTAAGAAACAGGCAGCCATGTCAGTGCTTGAGCAAAGAGGAGATGGTGCTATCCTCAAGTGGGTGCCAGGTACATGGCAGTTTCTGATAACCTTCTGAAATTATCCTTTGTTGAGTTCACAGAGCCACTCTACAGAATAGATGGCCTATCCTTTTCAGTTTAGAGCTGGACTGGGTGCACCCATGAATGCAGTTGGAAGGCATCATGGGAGATAATGGGCCTGGGAATGAGCAATTAATGCCAATGACTCTCAGAGCATTTGTAAAATCCTAGTTATAAGAGGATAATATGGAACAAGTCTACTAATTGTATTATCCCAACATGATATAAAATATACACATATATACAATTATATATGTCCGCATATGTGTATATATACATACACAGACACATACATAATCAGAGACCACCAATGCTCCATAAACCACAGCATCTGTCTATAATACTCAACTTCATAAAGAGGAGTTAAAGTGTTACAGTGGTCTGGATAAACCAGAGATTCTGACAGGTGGCGGAAGATCAGGCTCAATAAACAAGGTGATATTGCTGGCAACATTATCATATCCTAAAGACTTGTCCGAAAGCAGATTTAGAACTGTTGAAGCTGTGGTTGAGTGGGAAAGGAACTGCTAAATATTGAGCCATTGCAGCCACTGAGCTCTTATTACAACTGCTGAACATGAGCCAGTACAGTTAGATAGCAGGCGTCGCTCACAGTGTGGACTCAGGGTGATTCATACACGCTAAAATGCGGGGACCTCAGGGAGGCTCACCTTGAGTTGCAGAATGAATGGAGATGTAACAGTGCTGGCTTAAAATAAAGGCCTTTTTTGTTGTTTTGTTTGTTTGCTTTGTTTTGGGCACTAACCTGACTTGGATAAAAAGCACAAAAGTGAGGCCTCTGAAAATCAAGAGGAGAGCTTCATCCTGTTTGATGTCCACAAATGCCCTCTTTTCCCATGCTGCATAGCAAAGTACAGTGGTCCCTTTTTTCCTGGATGACACCTGCCCTTCTCAACAAGCTTCCACAGGAAAGCCGTAATGCCTCCAACATATAGAATGATTCACTTCTATCCCTCCTATCTAGAATGTTCTATCCCTGGGAGACTTCACAAAGACTCCCTTGAGCTTTTTCTTAGAGGGCCTAATTTACTCTCTCACAAACCCCAGTTGAGATGTGCTCCCTTCATTACTAAGCCACCTTCTTATAGCATGCCTCCCATCCCACACCTGCAAGGAAGCAGCGGACAATGTAGAGAGGTGTCTGAAACTGCTAAGCCCTTTTACTTAGTAACCAAATAAAGGCTAGTGTCTTGCATAAATAAAGGCTAGGAGGTATTAAAAAACTGTGCTTTGGGAGGCCAAGGCAGTGGATTATGAGCTCAGGAGATTGAAACTATCCTGGCCAACACAGTGAAACTCTGTCTCTACTAAAATACAAAAAATTAGCCTAGTATGGTGGCATGTGCCTGTATTCCCAACTACTGGAGGCTGAGGCAGGGGAATCGCTTGAACCTGGGAGACAGAGGTTGCAGTGAGCTGAGATCGCGCCGCTGTACTCTAGTCTAGTGACAGAGCAAGACTACCTCTCAAAAAAAAAAAAAAAAAAAAACACAAAAGTCTGGAGGTGCATGACTTGCTTGGGATGCTCAGTTATATTTCTGCACATTTGAAAATTAGTATTTTTTAGTTGGAGACCCAAGCAATAAAGCAATACACAATCAGAAAACAGCAGTTTTCACTTGACTTAGGGGGAATTTATTGCTGAAAAGTTAAGTCTGAATGAGCAACACCAAGAAAACCTGGAAGAGCTTATTTATCTCAATGTCTAAAACTGTCCAGAAGGCAGAGGTACCTGGTTAAATCTTAAATCAAAATACCCCAGGATTCAATGAGTGTCTTGTAGTGAGAAAAAGCAACTGAACTAATTAAAAAAGAGAGAGACACTTCAATTGCCTAAAACACCATCACTTAGACGGTCACGGCTCCCAGCAGGCTTCATTAGCATTCAAAACGCCTCTGCTTATCTGAGTAAGTTCCAGGTGCCCTACTGCAATCAGACAATTGACATTTCACAGTAATCAATATCAGGCTTCAAAGAGGTTGAGGCCTATAAGTGAAGAGAGTCAGAAGTCAGGAGACTCAGTCTCAGGGAAGGAGAGAGACTAGAGAAGGAAAGACAGAGGGGTCAGAATGCTGACCTTCCCACATTCTGGGAGGAGGTGGGTTTGGAATGATAACGTATTTATGTGCACCCTTATCTCTGTAACTAAACATTCTAGGAAGAGTCAGTTCTAAATCACTGGGGTAATTAGATTAGGGGGAAATGCCGGTGGAAGCTGCTCCTTTCACTATTTCCCAGTGGTTCACACTTCCCTGTAAGCTTCCTTATGAGCCGCACATCATGATCACCATGTAAACACACTGGAGAGTTCCCAAGCCAGCAGCTGGGGGTGGCAGTGCAATCTCTCTGCATCTACTAAAGGTCACTGTCCCAGGGACATTATCTCAGGGAAGGGCTGAGAAAATCACTTTCACAAGCTGCAAATGGTCACAGGCAGCCTCTAAGGCATTTGTGATAACCTGCGGGGTGTGGGGTGGGAGCTTCGGGAGGGGCCTGATGAAGTGACCAGGGTGAAGATGCAGAGAAGACTCAGGGGGCAGGTCGAGGAGGAGGCAGGAGAAGGGGCTTGTCTCAGTAAGACCATCCATCTTCCTTCCCCACAAAGTCTCTCCAGACATTTTGGAAACTGCTAGACCTTAATGAAGGGCAAGATAAATGTGATTCGCCAGACAGAGGTTTACATGCAAACTTATCTAAAGAACATTTGAAAACTACGGGGAGCTGACCAAACTATCATACCTTGGTAGCGTAAAAAATAAGAGGACCCTAAACGCAGATTTATATTTTCTTCAATCATTTAATCCTATACTTAAAACCAAAGCTTTGAAAACATTAAATGAGGAGAGTGGCGTCCTGTCCCGCATCCGTAATGAACACCCCTCTCCGACACTCTGGAAGCACAGCTACATAGCCATTCACAGTCTAGAGAATGCTCAGGTGTATTCTAGTCGCTATCCTTCCCTCTGCATTCCCAGTCCCCTTGCTGGTTAAAGTGGGCTCAGGCAATTACTCATTCTATTCAATACAGTGGTTGTACATCCACATCACCAGCGCTTGACAGCTCAGGTGGCCATGCTGATCCCAGATCAATTAAGTTCACGTTGTGGGGGCAGGCCTCAGTAATTTTTAAGTTTCTCAATGATTCCAAGGTACAGCCAGGGAAACCATTAATTCCTGAAAAGCTTCCACCTGAACAGCTCTGGGGGTACACCACTGCAGCTGCAAATAGGTGCTTGAAGGTTCAGCTTTCCAAACAGTGTCCCTGGAAGGAGATGGGAGAATCCCCTCCATCTCCATCCTTGGAATCTGCTGGGGGCTTTGTTAAAAATACAGATTCCTCCTGCTAATTAATACTCAAGATTTTGGATTTCTGGTGGTGCGGCCAGGTGACTATATAGACTAGAGGCTGGGAATCTTAACTGATTCAAAACTCCCACTAAGTGCTATTACAGTTGGTTTAATGAAGAATACTGGACTAATGACATACTTTTACAAATATGCTCTAGAAATATTTAACAGAAAAACAGAAAATGTAAAAGAGCAACAATTGTTTAATGTTGTAAAAATATTCTTATTTTAAATTTTACTAAGTTACACTCAGTTCTGGCAACTACTTTTACTCAGAGATTGGCTAGGGAGTAGAAGAAATTAATAAATAGTCTAGGCCCATAAACTAAGGAACATTCAAGGCAGCAATATGGGTGATAATGGGTGTAGAAATCATGTCATGCACAGAAGACTTAAGGAAATGTAAGATATTCTACCTGGAGGAAAAATCAGGTAGTCGGTTAGAGGTGGCCATGAATGAATGAGTGTCCTAAGAATTCACAAGAGAAGGAGGGCTGTTTGGTGTACACTCAAAGTACAGAACAGGAATAAGTGGAAACTAAAGGGAGGCAGATTTTCACAGTATAAGGCAAAGTTCTGAGTAATCCAATAATGAAATAGGCTTTAATGTTTATAAATATGTAAGTACCCCATCACTGAAAGTATTCAACATGAGTCTAGGTGACTACCACTGAAGACTGCTATTAAAGGCAATTTGCTTCAGGTCCATTTCAACTCTAAGAGGCTATAAGTATAAAGAAGAGAAAATACAATGCTAAGCTGTCTCTGATTTTTCCATTGACTCTTTCTGCAGAGACCACTGCCATTTATTTATTTATTTAATAATAATTTATTGAAAACCTACTATATGCAAGGCACTGTGCAAAGCCTTGGGGTTACAGAGATAAGGAAGACAGCATCCTGCTCTCAAGGAGCTCACATTCTAAATGAGGACAGACAAGTTTTCCACAATTATAACACAGTACAATCAATGTGAGAATATATGTATTCATGGAATACTGTGGGCTCATGGAGGAGAGACGCCTAACTCAGCTTAGAAGCACTTTAATGAAAGCTGAGTACGAAAGAACGAAGAGGCATTAGTAGAGTGGACGAGTAGGGTGGTGACAATGAAGGGCATTCCATGCACAGCAAACAGCATGTGCAAAGGCACAGAGGTGTGCAGGAGCCTGGTACATGTGGGAATGGTGAGTGATTCATTATGACTGAAGAGCAGTGACTGTGCAAGAGTTGGGAGAGCTGAGGCTGAGGGGTAAGCAAGGGTCAGATAATAAAGAGCCTTAGATGCCATGCTGAACAACTGGGAATTGATCCTGAAGTGACTGGGAAACCACTGGAGAAATTCAAGCAGGGAAGTGACATGCTCAGAAGTGCAAGTCAGAAAGACCATTCTTCTGTCAGTATAAAAGAAAGGTTGGTGGAGGATAAGACTGGAAACAAGCAGACCAGTTAAGACTATGGCAGGAGTTCAGGCAAGAAATAACAAGGACCTAGACTAAGAGGGATGCTTTCGGAAAAGAAGGAGGGAAAGAAGAGGAATAACATTTACTGAAGGCCTAGTTGCTTAGGAGGTTAGAACTGACAGATTGCGAAGGCCAAGACAGATGGGATGTGGGGAGTGAGAGAGGGTAGAATTTGGGAGGGCTGCCGAGTTTCTGGCTTGAGCAACGGGGTGGATGGCGGAGGTCAGGAATACAGGAGGAGGAGCAGTTTTGGTGGTGGGGGAAGAGGGGTGATGAGTTCAGTTTTGGAAATGTTGAGATTGAGGTGCCGGAGGGATTTCCAGTTCATCTTCAACACGCATGAAAATACTCTTGCAATTCCAGTCCCTGAACTCTGCCGAGCAGAAAATGTCAATCATCTGGAAAGGGATTAAATCAACCCAGCCAAGTTAGAAATCATGCTTTCTGATTGCACTGGACTTGAAATCTGAATGTAGTTCCAGGGATACAACTGATACTCTTTTCCTTATTCCTTCTGTTTCAAACTCATCTGTGGCAAGATCAGTAAACTTATCCTTAACTGCATGTGCAGGTTGAAATGGTCAGTTTTCAACAAAGAAATTATGGTTCTTGACTGTCAATGCAGATGGCTTTTCTTATTAAAGCTCCTCTCCCCAAGCTCCTTAAAAACTCTTAATGGATTTCCATATTTCTAAATGTCATTTCAGTTTACTTCTTAATAAGCCCTTCACACCCTCTGTTCATTCCTTAAACAAGCCAAAGGTTTGCAGCCATTTAAAAAATTATTTAAATCATCTCTGAAAACGTAAATCTCATCCTTCACTAAGGAAAGAACCACGATAGCCAAAGATTAGATATAATGTCATTCAATTATAGAAAACCAAATAATTTCCCACACATTTTTCATTTGCTAGAATTCCCTAAATCATTCCACCCCTTTGGACCTCCTGCATTTTTTGGAAACTGCTAAGAATTTGTTTTGTGAAACGAGGCAAGACATGCAGTAATAACCTGCACTTTCTCATTTGACCCTTAATGCTTTGATTCCACTGATGATCATGAAAATTAAATGATGAGCAATGATCTTTGCAGGCTCGTATTCATTTCTGCAACGCAACCTTGTTTCTCTTATGCTGCTTCCCTTGGCTTTCCCCAACCATTCCCCGAGGCCTCCCTCTGGGCAAACACTCACAGCTTTTGCGAAGACCCCCATAAGTTCCGGGAACTGATGTGTCAGGAGGGCCAGCATGGCTGTGAATGAACATAATCCAGCAGTAAAGAGAATAAAGAAGGGAAGCTCCTTCTTTGGGTAAACTGAGACTTCATGGAAAGCTGTGGAGAAGACCAAAAGGGAAACATCAGGGCTGGAATAAAATGCATTCTCAGGGATGGTCTATATGACGGCACTGACCCCAGAGCTTTGGAAAGAGTTGGAAGACTATTGGAAATGAACAAAATAGTGCACCTGACAAACCGTAGCCAACATCTGACCCAGCCTTTGGAGGCCCATCTGCTGGTCACAAGTGTTTGTCCAACCTTCAGCACTCTAGATTGAGGCAGGAGGGGGCTAATGTGGGGTTGCCTTCATGGGAGGGAAGAGGAGCACTGCCGATGCCTAATGTATAGTATTTCTTTCTCAAAAGCAAACACAACTAAAACAATAGAACTTTACTCAAATTACAAAACACGTATTCATTGTACAAAACCTGGAAATCCAAAATCGAGTATACATGGTTAAAAAAAAGTGCTCCTGTCTATATTTTTTCCTTCCTGTATTAAAAAAAATCATTATAATATGGTGATACTAGTTTCTTCTGTATTTTTTCCTGGCACTCTCTAGGTATGTCAGTGGAGGGTGCCACCCTCATAGAGAGATATCCAGCGAGGACCTCACATGTAGGTAGGTCTATTTAAACTGCAAGAGGAAAAGGTCAAGGCTGCTAGGGTTTTGCAATAATCAAAAAACAAGAAAAGCTGGTGCTCTCTAAAGTACCCTCTATAACTTTTATATTTCAAACATTGGGTTTGAGAAAACCAAAAAGCTGTGGGACAAAGGTCAAGAGAATCACTTCCTTCTCTGTGCTCATTGCAAGGCTGCCTGAGAGACTGCCTGGGTGGATGGGGCTGGCCTGCAGGAGGAGAAAGAGCGAGGGGCTGTAAAACTGCACATGAGCAATAGGCCACTCTAAGAGGACCAGAGGGTCTCATGGTCCTCAGGGAATACAAGATCTAGAGGCCTTTCCTCTACCTTTCAGCTCCTGTTCCTCAGAGCCTCAACAGTAATCCACAAGGCTGAATGCTGAGGACAGAGGGGATCCAGGTAGAACTCCACACAGACAAACATGCCTACCATGTCCAGGTAGGTCAGCCTGCTGGGATTCAAACACCTGGAGCAAGTGTGCTCAGGGCCTCGTGTGGCTATAATTACACTTTTAATGTGCAAATTATGGGTAGCACTTAAAACAACCTACCTTCTTCATATCCTCACCCTCAACATCCAACCAAAAAAGATTTTGGAGGGAGACCAGACTTGGAGCACTGCATTCAATTAAATTAATGTGAGCCACAATTTTCTGTTTCGGGCTTATAAAGATTATCCCTATAAGGTTTCTTGTAAGAACTGTAATCTTGTTCTAATAACTAATCTATCCCCATGGAAACTTAATTGAACGCGATTAAAACATTTAAAAACATTGTACATGTCAGAAAACTGCCTTTCTTACCAGAAAACCAAAACTTAACAAGGATCTCCCTGAAGGGGGAGTCAAAAGGTAAACTATGGGCCCATGGTGAGGATTTCTGAAATCAACTCTAATGCCGTGTGAGGCACCAGAGACTGTTCACAATCAAACTCAAACAATGAGGAACACATCAAGGAGATCTTGCAGTTCCCTGAGTAACAAATCTTGAACTGGGCCTGGCTAGCAAGGAGGTGAGTGAGCACCTCCTGCTACCTCAATCTGATGACAGCCGTCGAGTTCTACACCCAAATCCCACCATGCTGGAGACTCATGACTGGCTTGATGATGCTGGTGTTTGAAAATTTACTATGCACCCAGGACTCTAAAGTTACACTGTTCCTCTGGGCAAAGTATTTATATATGTTACAGCTATAAGATATTGATATAACTGGAGCTGATGAAAGGGCAGAAATGGCAGGAGACAGGACAGAGAAGGGAGAAGAGCTAAAATTTGGAGCTTATTATCTGAGGGAGAAAAATATATCCTAAGTCAGGGCTACATGAAGAGCCTGACATGATCCTTGCACACAGTATGATTTGATAATAACCATTTAGCCTGAATTGTCAAAACAATGTTGTATTACAGCAAAGCAAAATAATATTTTCCACATGTGGTATGGGCCATTAGACTGCTAGCAGTGTAAGGTAGTCAAGGGCAGGGTTTTCTTTTGTGTGCTTTCATACAGTGCTGAGGCTGCATGTGTGCTCTGCACATGGTACTGAGCCACTACGTGCAACCCACGAGGTGCTCACAGGAAATCCCTCTGGCCAGAGCACTGTCCCACCACAGAGCACACCGCCCTGTCCCGCAACACCACCTGGGGCTGTGGTGCCAGCACCCTCCCATCCATGACTCATCTGCAGCTCCCTCTCCATCAGCAGCTCCTCTTCAAACTGGTCTGTGCAGACCACATCTGTCCAGCTGAAGAGCCCAGGCAGAACCCTGCCAATGGACCAGCCCAGCAGATACCAGCCCAAACCAGGGCCTCTGTGCTCAGGTCAATCAGTACATGGAGTTTCTTCATCTATATTTCAATCCTTTGGCATCTTTCCCTTTGATAAATTTGGAGAGGCTTGGAGGAACAGGAAGCCAAACCCACTCACGTAATTCACTTTAATACATATGCTATCAAACAAGGACAGGGGTTTGGGGAAAAGTAATAAAAGACGAAGGTTATAAACATTGATATTCCCACCTCTTCCAATCCCCACCTTTCGCCACACACCCTCACTGGCTGAAGAGAGGTGAGACTTACATGGAAGCAGCTCTCGGTCTGCTGTTTCTGTACAGATTGGGTAAGGATAAAATAGATGCCCCTTTTCCAAGGGATAAGGGATCATCCGGAAAGCTGAAAAGGAGAAAAAATATGTCAGATATGGCCAAAATTTGTGTCATAACTTTCCGACTGCAAAAAGCGACGTTTGAGCATTTTTATAACAGGGAATACTTCTCCAAAGGAGGCAAGGCTTACCCGACCAAGCTATGTGCCAGATAAAATGTCAGAGATGAATTATGATGTATTACTCACACATTCATCTCACACTATATATTCTGGGCAAACCTCACAAAACTGGGTGGGGACAGAGGTGCAGAGGGGTGGGGAAGCCATCAATATCAATGGCCAGAGTTTCATCATCTACTGAATATTAGTAAAATGTTATAGGCACTAATTCAATATAGCTAAACAAACAGTAATAACGCAAACCTGGATTAAAATGCTTCCCCAAGAAGGAAATGTGGATTGACTTGTTGGAGTTTGTATAGATGTACAAATAAGAAAGGCACTCTACCAAGTCGATTTAAAAAATAATGTGTAAGTGGATTTGAATTCCAACCAAGATGAATAAAAACAAAAATCTAAAAATGTATAACTTGGGAGGTATTTCTAAACTTTATGAAATGTTTAAATCTTCAATATCGTGTGGGAAAATTGATCTGGAGAGATTGATTATCTGTATTTTGATGACGTTAGGCCACATAAATTCTGCTTTTGTAGCATCAGATGACATTAGGGCTCACACTAAATTACAGCTTTCCAATCAATCCATCCTTTCCCATGATCAGGCGTGTTACCCTCCCTGTTACAATGTCATCGGCATGTTAGTCTCACTGTTCCTATGAACAGTCCTCATAGAGGTAATTTTTCTTTAACAGATGTCCTCTTACTACAGCCTGCTGTAGATATAAAATATAAAAGCTATACCCTACTCTGGGAATGTCAGATAACAGTCCTTGCCTTCATGTATGTGAGGGATGGTGGCAACATGCAGGAATATTTAGTTTTAAATGATATATTTCAAGGAATCATAGCCACATCCTCAGCTGTGTAACTACCAGAGCCTTCTTAAAATGCTGTCAATGTACATATTTATCTTTTGCATACTTATTTCAAACAGGAATCAGAAACAAAGAATGTTCTCCCTCACAAGAAATGACAAGGTTCCATTGTAACCAGCATCAGTGCACATATGGTATTTATTCTGGTGTCTGAATATTATTTAAAAGTAAAAACATTATGTATGTGATTCCAGCATTTGGAATGCAGTCAATCTACACCGCAGTGGTATCACTCTGAGGTTACAGCACATTGCCACGGAGAATATAAATCACTATAAACGTGGGATTAGAGCAGAGCCAGTTTGCTGGCAGTTTGCTGAGGTAAAAATGTTATCAATTTTCCTCTCGTAACAGAAACCTCTTAAACAGAGATTAAAACATTAAAAACACCCCAGACTTTAACTCTGCTTAAAATGAAAAGCTCACCCTAGTTCAATCAGACCTTTTCGTTCACGCAAACAAAGATGACTTTTGCCCGCCAGAACAAGCAAGAGAGGAGTTCTTTGCACAGGTTGTTAACACACAGAGATCATTCCAAGGAAGCAACGTCTCTCTCATTAGAGCCAGACTTTCAAGAGAACAAAATGCCCCCCACAAAAACAAACAAAAACAAAAATAAGCCTTTTAGTGCCTTTATAGGATATGCTAAAATCTCTTCTGGGAAGTACTGAATTTAAACTTAAGCTACATTATGGCAGGATTTTAATTCCATTTCCCATAAATGATGGCTGCTACAAAAGCATCTGAAAAATGTGGAAAAACCTACATGGGAAGTTTTTTGTTTTTTTAATCCAGATTCTCCAAGTGCAAAGGGCTGCTGTAATTAAGAATCTGTTCAAGTTTGTATGATATAAATAAACCCTCAGTTTTCAAAGTGGCTATAAATTTGAATGCTAAATTTTATTCAAAATTGAAGTCAGTTTGCACTTCAGGGAGTAATTTTTTAAATGAAATGCAGGAGTGCAAGATCTTGAGAGTGTTCAACCATAGAAATCTATGGTTGGTTGGTGTCTTTTCAGTCAAATGCTACATACTTTTTACTGTAATATTTGGCATGCATACAGAATTTTGTGCATCAAGCTGGTCTTTTCCTTTTTCTAATTGGTTCTGGTCTTTTTTGGAGAGGTTAGAGACACAGCACAACTTTAAAACGAGTGCATGTGTACACACAACCACCCACCCACCCACACCCTCTTCCCGGATTGCCCTCCACCCCCATGATTATAAAGATGCTTATGGTGCATTAAAAAATCTCTCCCATGTCACTTGTCATTTGCATTGAGCTCATAAAATAGTATTAAGGCTTTTGGCTTCACTAAACAAAAGCAAATACAATTTCTGCTTGCAATTCTATCCTTTACCCACCCTGCAGTGCAGGGCCCAGTCGGGTGTGAGATAAGCAGGAGAGGTCCAGAGACAGGCCGGGAGAGGCACTGCACAAGCCTTGCCAGCATCACCTCCCACCTCCTGGTCCCTTTCGCTGCTAAGACACACAACTGCTCCATGACAGCCTTGTGCCTTTTGCCAAATGTCCAGAAATTTTGCGAATCTAAGTATTAAAAACACACTGATTTGGTGGTAGAAATAAGAATAGAAAAAGATCATTTGAACAGATCTACTTTATGGATGAGTACAGGCCTAAAAATCTTTGAGAAAACACAAATTTCAGAGGAATTAAAAAGATACATGTATTGGGTTAAAAACAAAACAAAAAGCTAGGCCACTCAGAGTGAATACATGGTACATAAATGATATTTCTGCACTTTCTTCTGTGTGCCATGCCCTCCCCTACATTGATTTTGGTTGCGAATTTGCTGAAGGGTCAAAATGAAACTGGGAATTAGTGAAAGAGCAGATCATGCCTTCACAATCAAGTCTATGGCATGATGCTGACTTCTTCTATCACTGATCAGATACATTTTCTAGGTGCCAAGTCTATCAGTGCCATTCCCATCAGAGATTCTCAATTGACACTGGGCGGGGGGGGGGGGGGGGGGGGGAATCACCAGAACCAAAGAATGGACAAAAGGATATATATGTGAACAAGTTAATTCCTGATTTTCCCAATGACTCTGTCTACTACATAGGCAAAACTAGAATGTAACTGTAGACATTTCATCAGTCCATGATACCTTTTCAAAGAGTATCTTAGAGAACTTTATACAGACTATTTGCAGTACAGGGAACTGAGTTTGAATCTCAGCTCTACCTCTTATAATCAGTCGCTTGTCAAAAGGTGAGTGACTTCTTATGTGATGAGCACAAAGGTGAGCCCAGCACACACTGCCCCTGCCCTTCCCCACCAAGTGCCAGAAGCAGGATCCAATCATCACAAAAGTGAGAGTAAAGGTTTCCACAGTGATGAGCACTTCCAAGGGAGGCATGATGCTGTGTGTACATAATGGTGGAGCAGCCCAAGAAGCATCTAAAGGATGAGCAGGACCTGCCTAGACTCACTAGTAAATGACTTTGAGTGGGTCATTAATCTGTGTCCCTGTCTCTTAGTCTGTAAAATGAGAATATCACAGGCCTCAAAAGGCTGGTAAAGGAACTAAGTGTAACAGTAGAGGTCAAGGTGTCCACATATAGTGCCTGGCTGCTCAATAAACGTTGGGTTTCTTTCCCCCATATCCCTCTCTATTAAACCTAAAGTTCCTACTTTCTCTATCAGGCCATATTCTAGCTTATAAGTAAAAATGCTGCTTAATTGTTAATAATTAGAAATGCAAATGATAGAACAGGAAATTATCACCAAATTGCAGTATTATGTCCTCACTTTTAAGTTCAATGTAGTTAACTGGCCAGAAAGGCCATCTGTTTTTAGTGAGGAATTTGGGTGCAGCAATAAAGAAAATGCAAAAGTCAAAAGGCTCAGTTGGGATCCACATGCTTTCACTACGTAATTATGTGGCCTTGGGAAAAACACTTTCCCTTCGTTGGATTAAATGATGTTCTACTCTGATTTTGAAGAAAAATTCTACAGCAGAGTCCCTAACTTCTTAGTGACCCTCACCACTCTAATAACTCAGTTCCTACTTTCATGATAGATAGTGTATATACAAGCACTACTATCTATCTACTTGATGTGGGGCAGATATTCCCCTACCAAAGGAAATACTCTGCCTTAGTTCCCCTAAAAAGCACCACCTTCAAATCTTCTATTATTTAGTGGATTCTTTGGGGTGGGAGATCTCTAAGAAGAAAATAAAGAGCCTTACTTGGACAAGCAGAAAAAATATATACTGCACATGTGTGCATACATACACACACATACACACACACACTCTCTCTCTCTCTCTCTCTCTCTCTCTCTCTCTCTAATGTTCCTTCCAAAGCATTTCAGATTCTTATTCATCCTGATATCCTCAACATAATGTCTGGCACAAAGGAGGGACTCAATAAATGTTTGTTGAATAAAGTAATGAATGAATAAATGGACAATCAAGAAGAGACAGAATTTTCCTTTTAAAACCTCAGGTGGACCCATATGATAAGCCAGTCATCAAGACTGAATAAAGGAAAGGAGCAAGTTGGTTCTCCTGGGCAGTAGGTGGGGATGCATCATATGGTATCTGGAGTCTGGCTATTAGGCTAACTTAGCTATGACCAGGGACTTTGGCCGGTCATTACTTTCTCCCAAATTACAAAATTTAGCCTTGGATCTATGGAGGAGGGTGGTGAAATTTCTCTTTTGTATTTCAAAAGGTGCCAGCCTTATGAAGGAAAGGTTTGGTTGAGGAAATGCCCTAAGAACCACATCTTACAGTGAGCAGCATTTGCCATTATGTTCAAAGAGAATAAATTAGAATCAGAACCTCATCCTATGCTTCAACAATGGGCCATTTTCCCCTCTCAAAGGGAATACTCTGCCTTAGTTCTCCTAAAAAACTCTACCTTCAAATCTTATACATTATTTAGTGGATTCTTTGAGGTGGGGGATCTCTAAAAAGAAAATAAAGAGTCTTACTTGGTCAAGTTGGAAAAAAACGGAAACAAAGAAAGGCTAAGTGATTTACCCCATGGCAGACTGGCCTCCTGATATATAGAACTAGAAAGTTAAAGTTCACAGTTGTGGTCGGCAGGCAACCCTGCTTTCTAAAATAAATACAGCCAAAACAGAGCCTTGAAAATATAAAGATAGGAGGGAGATAAAACCACATCAGTATTAATACAGATAGAGTGGACAATGTGCCATTTAAAATAGGGCCCCGGCAAAAATTAAAAAAAAAAAGGGGGGGCCCCAGAAGGCATAATACTCTTGTAAAGAAGACCCAGTTCAAATGAGAGCCTTCATTTCTATGTTTTTTATATTCAACTCATACTTCCAGTGGTGCATGTATCTGAGGATAGCCAGAACTGACAGTGTTCAAAATAAATATAATTCAGATAAGGTGGCATGGTAGCTGTGTAATTAACTAGAAACATATTATAAAATCTTATAAATTAAAACTCTTGCCTTTCTTAATTATCTTGACTTTGAGGAATATATTGTGTAATTTCAGGGGCTGGGACCAGTGATGAATCAAACATTTTGGAAACCTTTGAAATGCTGATGTATTTGTGGTTGAGAATTCAGTTTTTTTGTTTGTTTTTTTTTTTTAAAACACCATATGTTTCAAACCCAAACAATCTCTGCCATGCATCAGCTGGACTTTGGGGCTTTATCAAAAATGGGAGGTTTTCTTTTTTTCAGCTTGATTGGTGGAAAACTTATTTAATTCCACTAATTAAGGATGACTAATGTTCCAACATAACAAATTCATTAAAAAGCAAAACAAAAACACCTCCACCCCTACCCCCAACAGTTTTGATAGATTAAGAATTTGTTTTAAATCTCCAAAAATAAATTTACTAACAATCATTTTAATGGAACCCAGTAAAATTAGGTACTATTACCTTCTTCCCTGAATTTTCTTTCTAATGAAAACGGGAAGTTGGAAGAAAGTTGGGGAATGGTCTTAAATTTCAGAATGAAGATAAAAATGATTCAAAGGAGAAAACCTCAACTATAAGGCTGGAGATGTCAAAAGGCACCACCAAGTGGTGCACTGGCAGAAGTGCAGCCTCCTTTGCTCTGGTACAGGCTGCCCACGCCTGGCCAGCGGACCTGAGAGGGAGCTGTGGCAACTGCTCTGAAATCAACAATCTGGGGTGGGTGGGGTATGGCATTCAATATAATTGGTGCTTCATCGTTTTTAAAAATTAGTAAAGTAAATGCTACTGTAAGTAGCTGAGTCAGAATTCTAATCCAAGTCATTTGATGGAAAATCCAGAGGGCGGAAACTCCCTTTAACTTAGAATGAACACAGATCCAGAAGCCATGTCAAAAGATTGGATAAAATTGTCTTGGTTTGGAGGGGTAATTCTTTCTTCTAAATTGCATGTTTTTTACAGCTTTGATTTTTAAAAAAGACCAAAAACATCTGTGATGAGATACTATTTTTAAAATATATGTGTATACAAGTATATATGTACATATACATATTTACGCTTGTCGAAAATTTAACAACACAAATATGAAGAAAAAAGAAATTATTTAAAATCCACAATTGAGTGGCAATCACTTAATACAGGCTTATTTACTTCCAGTGTCTTTCATTTATTTATACATACCTGTTATTTATCTTATAAAATTGGTGTCATTCAATATTTAAAATGTTTAAGTAAATATCAAACAGAAAATATAATTTTGTATAGGATGGTTAACTTTCTAAACATTACAGAGAGATCAGGTATAATAAATACACCCTAACCCTGTAAGTAGTGATGTAAATTTCTCTCATAGGCTTCCAAACAAATGTTTCAGAGATGACTGATCCTTGTATTCTTAATCTGTACAATGCAGTGAAGGAAAAGTGAACTTGGTTTTATATCCTGGATCCCCAATAGTGGCTGCAGTGTCAAAAAGGCACTGATTTCAATGAACCTGTTTCCTCTCTTGAAAAACTGGGATGGCCACCTCTGTCTAGCCTAACTCAGAATATTATCAGGGAGAGTTTATGATGTAAATGCAAGCGCTCTGTAAATTACCCAGTTATATAAACACTCTTCAAGGTTCGTGGCATTCTCAAGCATTTAGCATATAGTAAGCACTTCCACAGTCCTCTTTTCTAAAATGGAAATGTTATGGCTCCATGTGAAAACTGAATGGCAGTGTAAGTGACTTTGGCTGGGATCACAGTTACATGATTTTCACCAACACTTCTCCAGAGTGGTTCCTGCTTATCTGTAAGGATCAACTGCAGAATTTTCCTCTCCTATAGGTACCTGGCCATACTGTGTTATGTCTGAAAACCCATCTCCTCTTTCTATCCTAATAAAGCATTCTGCCAGTTTAATTTGAGAAAATTTAATCCCCATACAATCCCCTATCCTGGTTGGTTTTGCAACTCCCTGTTTCACTTCATGTTTCTTTCAATCTCATTATCCTTCCAGTTGATCAGAGCATCTTCCCATTGTTATCTGACTACATGGATAACTAATTTCCAAAAAGAGTTTCCAGTTATCCTTCGTAGATTTTTTTTTTCCTATGGTGATGCCATTTTTCTGTGGTGACACCATGTCTTCATCATCCTTTGTCCCACCCCTTTTTTGGTACTTTCTATAGGACAGGTAACTTTCTTTCCATCAGATTCAATGGATGAGCTTCTATTATTGTTTCCAAGATGCCAATCTACAGATATTTGGTAAGCTAACTTGTCCATTTAATTTCTCCACAACTGACACTAGGTAAGGCCTCTCATGTTCAGTCCTGCTGGGCTTTTCTGTCTCTTTCTCATGCTTAAATAAAAATTTATTTTGTTCCTTCTGATAGAACAGCTTACATACAACAGGAAGCACAAGCCAGAAGAGATTATGACCATGCTCACACACACCGTGTGGAGTGTGGTGTGTTTTAACCCATTTAAATACAGTTGCTGGTGCCACCAAGCCACCTGAAGTATGCTATTGCACTTACTGAGGAGGGGTGGAAGCACTGATCATGTCATCTTTCAAGTTATAAATAGTAATCTATAGAAGCAGACCCACAATTAATTTGTTAAAGAAATATTTTCAAAACTAAACAAAAATTTTCAATCAACTTTGAGTCCCATCTCTAGCTTATTTTTACACCATCCCATTTCACTCCCCAAACCTCCCTTCCTGCACCAACTTGGATTTCTGCTGGGTTAGGAAGGGCAGGAAAAGGGAGGAGCAGATTATCAAAATGAAAATGGAAGCTGCAAGGATAAACAGAGCGAAAGGATTAAAAAGACACTTGTTTGTGAGGTTGATCAGAGTGAGGGTGAGTTAGGAAAAAACTGTCAGAAGATTCTAATATTTATTGTTTTAGTTTCCCATGGGTGGAAAAAAAACCCTATGCTTCACATTGTACTTGTTTTGCAAATATTAATGCTAGTAGAGTGTCAATGCACATGGCCAGTAATTCATAGTCTTGAGCTTTCTTCCTTAATTACAGTCTCTCAAACAGCCCCACCACTTATCATTTTTTCATACAGTCCTAGCTTATAATAAACTTATAATACTGTCCTAGTTGTTCAAGGCTTGGTTCAAATCTCATCTGACTCATAATGTTACCCATGATCACTCCACCCCATAGACCTCTCCCTTCTGAAAAATCAACAGGCAGTTTCCACGTGCTGCTGGTTCTTCTTTCCATTTAGATGACACACTTCTCCAAGGCAAGGAACATGTCTCACCCACCATTACAGCCTCTTCTCCTTACACTGAATAATAATATCTATGGAGAACATGCCCACAGATTTATTTATTCCTACATTCATCTACCCGGCATTTATCCATTAATACGTGAATGCTATACCTCTTAGCAAACACTAGGGTTCCATGGCCATTGTCCTTGGTTTGAAGCATAGCTGCCACGCCTTTGGGTGTGGCCAGTCTGGCTCCAGTGGAGGATAGCTGTGGCTCTTAGCCAACCCTCCCAGAAAGGCCATCAAGAAGTGGTCATCAGTGTCCAGCACAAAGCCTAACCCCATGTCAAAGATTACCATGATGCTGTGGGGCTCTATAAGTTTACAAACAGGTTTTCAGGATAGCAGAGTGCCCCTCTGAAGAACATCTGGGTTCACCCCATCTATAAAATGAATTTACCATTCTGAGCTGTGGAAACAGCCTCACCACAGGAATACCCACCACCACTGGTGGATGGGAGAACCTAAGTCACTAACTGTCTTAGATGGGCCATCATAGAACACAAGGGTAATATATATGTATATCTTCATCATTCATCATAAACACCCAGTGCAAAAACATTTTAGCATCTTTTCATGCTCTTAAAAATGATTCAAAAAAAAAAAAAAAAAAGAAAATTACTTACTGCCTTCCCATGTACAATGCAAAAGATTCAAAGCCCCTTCCACCCTCTTCCAGTGTGCAAGATGAAAGAATGCATATGCTATTGCTTCACTGTCTCCTCTCTTCAGGATGTGTTCTGGGGGTAGGATTAAACTTTTCATTTCTAGTAGGTACTGAAATAAAAAAGGCAGAACACAGTTGTGTTAATACATAGTTATCTGGAATTCAGTATTGAAAATAGAGCAGTTGATTTCCCTAAAGCCACCATTTATAAGCATTTCATTAAACCTACAACCTTGTTACTACATTTGAAGGCAATTACTAAAACATCCAGCAATACAAAGTTTGCTGACAGATGATTACCTTTGTACTAGTTTCCTATAGTGAAGATCCGAGGTTTTCAGGCTAAGACACTCTAATCAAAGAAATACATAAGACTCAAACAGCATAAAGGAAAATGAAGAAGACATAATAATTTGATATAATTTTGGAAGCAGAATGAAACCATATAAAATGGACACATGAAGGTTAAGAAGTTATGTGGCTAAACCAAGTGCACCAGAAAGATGTGAGATTGAGTAGCACTGCCCATGATTTTTTTCTATACACATCTGTCAAGGAAAAGAGTCTTGTCCTATAAAAAGAGCTACACACAGTTACTCAGGTGCTACAGGGAGGAAGGGTGGCAGTCAGAGCATAGGGAGACCCAAGGGAGGAGAGCATTACAGACCCCAAAGTGCAACACTGTTTTAGATCCTTTCCCAAAGACTCGTAGGGGGTTGGGGGGGGTCTCATCTTAACCTCTTCATTGCTATCTTCTGCAAAGGGGGTAGGAGTACAGGGCAAGAATGGACATATTTCCTGGGGGCTGAGAAAAGACTATATTTCCGTTTTTATTCTTTTGTTTTACTACAGGATAGAAAGGGAGCAATTTTAGAAGGTTATTTTATAATTGCAAATGTTAATCTTTCTTTTCTGGCTGGCATTCTGCCATTATCTTATTACCTCCCCACCCTGATCCATCCCTGAAACACACACACACACACACACACACCACCACCACCACCACCACCACCACCACCACCACCACCACCAAAGACAAACATAAGAGCAGTCCATGCAATCTCCTTTAACATGGAGACTAGTAGACTACAGAGAGATGTGGACAGCAAGAGTAAGTGCTAAAAAAGGTGTTCAAAAATTTTAGTATCAGAAATAATTGCCTATGTATTTTTCTGTCCATGGAAGTTTATGAAACACAGTGAAAGGTAGAAGAGTCCTGGTATAGAGAATGGAGACTATTGCACAACTACCAATGTTTCCCTGCATCTAGCTAAATGGGCATTACCCAGTTACCCTTAAACTTCCTCTCCCATTGGCACACTTGGTGTTGAGGTTTATGGCCCAGCAGCAGCCAGGAGAACACATTCAGGCATCTTGGCTCAGTAACTGGAACTTTCCTCTCTCTGGTTCTGATTTTTGAAGAAACCTCCAAGCCTCTGGCCTCAAAGCAGGAAGAGTAGGGAAGTGAAAGAAAGACAACCAGAGAGTAGCAGGAGGAACAGTGATATGGTCATCACACTTGGGAGGAGGTAGGAGAGAAAGCCTCACTCGACAGAAAGACCCGGGACCCCTTTCCAGGCTGGTCCATGAGAGGTGTTTGTTATTTTGGTGGAAGTCCTCAAGCATGAGTTCTAAAAGAACTTTCTGGCCATCTGCCTTTTTGGATTCTATGAACTACTGCTTTCTTCCTACTGCTTTCCTCCTTTTTGTCTTGCACTGTCTTCTTTTAAAACAGTGCAAGACAAAAATCTTTTTGGAAGAATAACCATAGAGAATTATCTAGCAATCCAATTAGCACTATGTTTATAATGAATATCAGCCTTAATATAAATAGTTATGTTATATGATGTCATAGCCATAATATAAAGTTATATTTATATTATTTGTATTATGGTGGATTTTATGTTTGGAGTTACCTGGCTATCCCCTTGTGGTTTTGTTACCTTAATAGGAATCATTAAAGTGTACTTTGCTCCTGCCAATGATAGTCTTAAAAGATCCCAAGGCTATGAGTCATGAGAAAAATAAATAACTTGTAAAGTATTATGAACTGTATTAATTGTTTCACAGTAAGTTGGAGAACGAAGACCATTTGGTTATCCATAATAACCATCATCAGAAAAACAAAGGAGAAGGGAAATTTCTGGCCTAATAAGAGACCTGGAATATGATTTTGATCTGACTTTCTAATTATTTATAGCCACCACACCTATCAAATAGTCAATCTTTTTTTTTTTTTTTTTTTTGAGACAAAGTTTCGCTCTTGTTGCCGAGGCTGGAGTGCAATGGTGCAATCTCAGGTCATTGCAACCTCCGCCTCCCGGGTTCAAGTGATTCTCCTGCCTCATCCTCCTGTGTAGTTGGGATTATAGGTACGCACTACCACGCTTGGCTAATTTTTGTATTTTTAGTAGAGACAGGGTTTCTCCATGTTGGTCAGGCTGGTCTCGAACCCCTGACCTCAGGTGCTCCGCTCACCTCGGCCTCCCAAAGTGCTGGGATTATAGGTGTGAGCCACTGTGCCTGGCTCAGTCAATTTTTTAAAAAGGATCATGCTATATAAAATTTAAAATAAATAAACTATGAAAACAAATAACTCATGTGTCTCAGGTTTACAGAAATCTCCTTAAAGCCCCTGACAATCAGATGCTGGCTAAAAGAAAAGTATAAACTACCATTCTTTTCATTTCTATGATTAGAAAAGGCTTTTGCATTTCATTAAACATCTATGAAAGAACTCTTCTCTTAACCTAAAGAAACTTCAGGAATAGGGGCATCCAAGAAGTGGGCCTCGTAGTCACCCACATTTGTGGGTATCAAATAAACTAGCAAGTTCAGGCACGGTGGCTCATGCCTGTAATCCCAGTACTTTGGGAAGTGGAGGCAGGTGGATCACAAGCTCAGGAGTTCAAGACCAGCCTGGCCAAGATGGTGAAACCCTGTCTCTACTAAAAATACAAAAATTAGCCAGGCATGGTGGCAGGTACCTGTAATCCCAGCTGCTCAAGAGGCTGAGACAGAGAACTGCTTGAACATGGGAGGTGGAAGTAGCAATGAGCCAAGATCGTGCCACAGCACTCCAGCCTGGGCAACAGAGTAAGACTCCGTCTCAAAAAATAAACAAACAAAATAGCAGGAGGTAGGGCAAGGCAACCTGGCAGGGGAGGGGAAGAGTTCAGAAAATTCCAAACAAAGGGACACTATAGATCTGTGCTATCCCTGTTCAATATGACAGCTTCTACCATATGTGGCTATTTATATTTAAATTAATTAAAACCAAACAAAATTAAAAATTCAGTTCTTCCATCTCACTAGCCATATTTCAAGTGCTCAGGTCCTGCATGTGGCTAGTATTGGACAATACAGGGAATATTTCCATGATCACAGAAAGGTCTTTTGGACAGCATTGACTGCTGTAGGCAACAGTTTGTCATCTTTGGATAACTGAACCAATTTTTAACATGAAAAAATTTCAAAGGTGCCCATGATAGGAGTCATCAGGGTAGTAGCCACTGACCAAAAATATACAATATGACAAAAATCTATAATAAATGTAATATAACAAAAATTCATTTAAAAGCATTGTTGGCTACCAGGGCATCTACATATAATACATTTGAAAAATAGTAGTACATGTCTGAGAGACAGATGGCTTACTCAGCCTGCAGGCTCAATGGGATACATATGGCCTCAAGGACAACATCCGCAGCCCCAAACATAGGCCGTGAGGTAATGCTGTTTCTTCTCTAAGCTCTCTCTAATCTTTGTGTATGTATACTATTCACACACCACCTTATATTAGTTATCGTGTATCTTGCATCTCTGCTGAATCATTAGACCCCCAAGAGCATGAACCTCGTCATCCGCATCTTAATTTCTCCTCCCACACCTCCTACGGAGCCTTGCACATCAAGGTAATTTCTTTTAAGTTAAATTAAATTGAAATCTTACTTCCCAAGAAGTCTCTCAAAGTGAACATCCCTGGCCTAATCAGCCTCATGAGGCTAACCAAAGCAACACATCAAGGAGACAATGCTGCCTTCTCATCTTATCTCTCTTATGGCAGAAATCAGCTATAACTATAAAAGAGATTTATACTCCTTTATAATTCTAAACAAAATGTTGGCCCTAATCAAATGATGAAGACTAGTAACAACAATGTGTTATGTTTTTGGCCAGGCTTAAAATGGCTGGCAAGATCATTTCTCAACATGTGCAACATTTAAATTAGAAAAGCATGGAACAACATTTCATGCCTTCCTTGTCAAAAGGAAAATAAATGAAAGAGGGCAGATCCTTATCCACAAGTATGCAGAAATCAATTAGAATAACTGTAGCTTGCAAATCAGAGAACAAGCTTTATCCATCTATAATAACGACTTGGTTTCTATTAGCTCATAAAGCATTCTGTGCTAGATTCTCAAATCACTCTGATTTTGCACTGCACTGCTTCTAAAAATTTTGGAAGCAACTTTTTAAAATCTATTTGGGTCAGCATCTAGCTCCTTATGTCCACTGCAGGAGCATCTAAAGTCAGGGCATATGAAGAGGAGCAGAGGGCTGTGGCTTTTGGGTGTGAGCAGCACCTACTCATGGAGGTCTCTGAGCGGAAACTGGCTCACCTGTCAGGGAAGCTGCTGAAGAAATGTGGCTTACTAGAGGCTACTCTGAGTGGCTGCTAACATCCCTTTTGCTACAATCTTAAAATTCTATAATAATTTGAATGAAAATGATCCCACAGCTATCATTCACATAAATGTTAATGCCAAAGAATTAACTCATACACCTCTTTTTTGAAATTTTCAATACCAACAATAGCATATGTCCTATGAAAATCATTAGCAAAAGTATGGGAATAAACAAAATGTGGAAAAAAAAATAGGTGGCCAGGTGCAGTGGCTCATGCCTGTAATCCCAGCACTTTGGGAGGCAGAGACGGGCAGATCATGAGGTCTGGAGTTTGAGACCAGCCTGATAAACATGATGAAACCCCATCTCTACAAAAAATACAAAAATTAGCCAGGCATGGTGGTGTGCACCTGTAAGCCCAACTACTCGGGAGGCTGAGGCGGGAGAATTGCTTGAACCCAGGAGGCGGAGGTTGCAGTGA